AAAGAAAGAAAGAAAATAGTGAAATGGCACACAACTTTAGGGCATCAATGACCACATAAAACATAGTTTTCTTCATTTTTAAAACAATAAGGGTCATGAATTCCCATTATAAAAGTGAAAGTTTAGAAGTTGATAAGTTTTAAAAATAATGTTATTTTTCACCTAATGCCACACCCATGAATAACTATACTTGAATTTGGTGTGCACACTTTCTGGCATTTAATCATAAATAAATAAAAAGAATGAAAGCAAGAGACAGTAGGAGTGACAGAAGGTTAATTTTTCAAAGGGTCCACAATCAACATATTTTTCTACAACATGCTTTTCTCTTTGGACTCCATATTTATCTCACTGCCTTAGACTAGGCATTAATAAATAATATGAATCTACTGAAATTTATACAATTCCATTTCCTGATTTTGCTACTAGAAGGTTTTGGTTAACTTATTTGCAATCCAAGTTACATAACATTATATTATCTATCATTTGCATGTTACTGATACTATAAACAAGTGAATGAACATATGAACTTCTAGATGAGTTCTATAACCCCCATTGTACAGAAGAAGTAACTAGGGGCAAAAGGAGTTATATGCTTTTTTCTATTAACTGGTGAGACAAATATTCGAAACCAGGGTTTCCTATTTCCTTTTCACTGCACAATGTTGACTATAAATGAAGCCTGAGAAACTCAGCACTACTCATATGTTAAGCATGTTTAAAATGCTAGGGTAAACCCGCATGGCATGAGCTTGCCTATGTAGCAAGCCTTCACATGTACCACCAAACATGAATGTTAAAAAAAAAAAATGCTTAGATAGTTGGCCATTTTCTTTGTAGCATTCATTTGATTAGAAAACACCTTCAACATAGATGAAATAAATATTTCATATTGAACCAGCCAATGATTTAGCTCAACATAAACACAGAAATGTACAGATCCTGTGTGAGATTGGAGGGGATTTTTACACTAGTTTCCTTAGCTTTTGAAAAGCATCCCCATATTTTCATATTATTTTATTTCAATCCAGATGATTAAAGTCAAGTTGATATGATAAATGTCATTTCTCTATCAAAATTGTAGCTTAAGTAGACCTCTAGCCTATTCAAGCTTCCTCTAGTGAGTGTTTATCCAAATGAAAGAAACACTTTTTGAAAGGACCACATTTCTTTTATTTTACAGTAAATTTACCGTATGAAGAAACTTACACTAACATGATATACCTCAGTATTCACTAAAAGGTAGATTGAAGAGAATTTTTTCTGCTTTCTTATTCCTCCACTACAGAACAGAAAAACAAAAAAAAAAGCAATAGAAAATGTAAGGGCATTTCTCGGAGTTATTTTGCTCATAAAGAATAATACCTAGATGGGAGGTGCATTCTAAGAATACTAGTACAAAGATGCTTTAAAGCCTTCAAATGTATGTAAAATATGACCATATTTAAGGAAATTTCTCTCTCATTTATGCTACTAATTTCAAGAGCTTTATCCAAAATTAAAATGGTGAGTGGCTGTGAAAAATTATAAAGGGGTCCAAAATTACATTTTAATATTACTTTACATATGGATGCCTGTTTAATATAGTGAAAAATTATCTATGTTTCTAACACATTAAAAGTCTTCTTCTAAGATAACCTTTTTTATTTTGAAGATGAATTCATTTCATCTTTCATCAGGTAAATCACCCTTGATGATTATAAATAAATTTTTTAATTTAGGAAATAAATAACACTATTGTTAGCTTTGTCATGAAAATCCAATTAGAAAAAAGTGACTTGAAATATAGAGCCATTTCATTGCAGGAAGTCACAAAGATTTCCCTTCTTTTCTGGGTCCTTCTTTTGGTCCTTTCTAGACTTTTGGTAGCCATGCCACGAGGAAACAGCACTGAAGTAACTGAATTCTATCTTCTGGGATTTGGAGCCCAGCATGAATTTTGGTGTATCCTCTTCATTGTATTCCTTCTCATCTATGTGACCTCTATAGTGGGTAATACTGGAATGATCTTACTCATCAACACAGATTCCAGATTTCAAACACCCATGTACTTTTTTCTACAACATTTGGCTTTTGTTGACATCTGTTACACTTCTGCTATCACTCCCAAGATGCTCCAAAGCTTCACATAAGAAAATATTTTGATATCATTTCAGGGCTGTGTGATACAATTATTGGTTTATACAACCTTTGCAACCAGTGACTGTTATATCCTAGCTATGATGGCAGTGGACCGTTATGTTGCCATCCGTAAGCCGCTTCACTATTCTGTAATCATGTCCCGAACAGTCTGCATCCAATTGGTAGCTGGTTCATACATCATGGGCTCAATTAATGCCTCTGTGCAAACAGGTTTTTCATTTTCACAGTCCTTCTGCACATCCAATAACATCAACCACTTTTTCTGTGATGTTCCCCCAATTCTTTCTCTTTCATGCTCCAACATTGACATCAACAACATGCTACTTGTTGTCTTCGTGGGATTTAACTTGATGTTCACTGGGTTGGTCATCATCTTTTCCTACATCTACATCATGGCCACCATCCTGAAGATGTCTTCTACCTCAGGGAGGAAAAAATCTTTCTCCACATGTGCATCCCACCTGACAGCAGTTACCATTTTCTATGGGACACTCCCTTACATGTACTTACAGTCTCATTCTAATAATGCCCAGAAAAATATGAAAGTGTCATCTATATTTTATGGCACTGTTATTCACATGTTGAATCCTTTAATCTATAGCTTGAGAAATAACGAAGTAAAAGAAGCTTTAACAGTGATAGGAAAAAAGTTCTTTTAAATTAGCCCCAGTTCTTAACATTCATGTCAACAAATCATCCAGCACAGCTGTTCTGCCAAAAATTTAATGTTTTTACAATAGGAAACATGTAGAAAGATGTCAAATTAATAGTCTAACATCACTTCTGGAGGAATTAGAAAAACAAGAGCAAATCAACCACAAAACTAGCAGAAGAAATAACTAAAATCAGAAAAGAACTGAACAAAATTGAGACCCCAAAAATTTATGCAAAGAATGAATGAAACCAAAATTTGGTTTATTGAAAGGATAAATAAGATTGGTAGGCTGCTAACTGGATTCACAAAGAAAAAAGGAAAGATCCAAATAAGCACAACCAGAAAGGACAAAGGTGACATTACAACCAATCCCATCAAAATACAAAAGATACTCAGAGAATATTATGAACACTTCCATGAAAATAAACTAGAAAATAGAGAGGAACTGGATAAAATCCTGAAAACACACAAATTCCCAAGATTTAATAAGGAAGAAATTGAAACCCTGAGCAGACGAATACCAAGTTCTGAAGTGAAAACAGTACTAAAAACATACCAACCAAAAACAAAGCCCAGACCAGATGAATTTGTAGTCAAACTCTACCAGATGTAAAAAGAAGAGCTGGTGCCAAATCTATTACAAAAAAATTGAGCAGGAGGGACTCCTTTGCAACTCATTCTATGAAACCAGCATCAGGTCTCTGATACCAAAACCTGGCAAAGACACAATGAAAAATGAACACTGCAGGCTAATACTCCTGATGAACATAGATGCAAAACCATCAGTGAAATGCCAGCAAACCAAATTCAATAGCACATCAAAAGTTAACTCACCATGATCAAGTAGGCTTCATTCTTTGGATGCGAGTTTCGTTCAATATATGCAAATCACTAAATGTCATTCACCACATAAACAGCATTCAAAACAAAAACTGTATGATCTCAATAGATGCAGAAAAAACCTTCACTAAAATGCAACATACCTTCATAACAAAAATTCTCTACAAATTAAGCAACAAGGCAATGTACCTCAAAATAAATGCAATCTATGACAAATCCACAGCCAATCTCATAATTAATGGGCAAAATCTGGAAGCATTCCCCCCTGAAAACTGGAACAAGACAAGGATGCCCACTCTCACCACTCCGCTTCAATATAGTTCTAGAAGTCCTAAGCAGAGCAATGAGGCAAGAGAAAAGAAACAAAATGTACCCAAATTGGAAAATAAGTTAAACTATCTCTCTTTGTGGACCATATAATTCTATATCTAGAAAACTCTAAAGACTCTGCCAAAAGGCTCCTGGAGATAATAAATTACTTCACTAAAATTTTAGGTTACAAAATCAATGTACAAAAATCAGTAGCACTCCTGTACATCAATAATGTTAAGCTGAGAGCCAAATCAATAATGCAATTGAATTAATAATAGCTACCAAGAAATAATAAAATATCTAAGAATACATCTAACCAAGGAAGTCAAATATCTCTACAAGGAGATAATTACAAAACACTGCTCAAAGAAATCAGAGAGAACACAAACAAATGAAAAAACAATCCATGGATGAGAATAATCAATATCATTAAAATGGCCATACTACCCCAAGCAGTCTACAGATGCAATACTATTCCTATCAACCACTGATGCAATTTTTCACAGAATTAGAAAAACTATTCTAAAATTCATATGAAACTGGAAAAAAAGCCCAAATAGCCAAAACAATCCTTAGCAAAAAGAACCAAGCCACCACATTATCTGATATCAAAATATACCATAGGGCTACAGTAGCCAAAACAGCAAGGTACTAGTATAAAAACAGTAACATAGACAGGTGCAACAGAATACAGAACCTACAAAGAAGGTCTCACATACACACACACACATGCACACATACACACACACACCACAGCTATCTGATCTTTAACAAAATCAACAAAAGTAAGCAATGGAGAAAGGACTTTCTGTTCAATAAATGGTGCTAGAATAATGGGCTAGCAATATAGCAAAAAAATAAAACTGGACATCTACATTTCACCATATACAAAAGTTAACGCAAGATGCATTAAAGATTTAAATGTAAGACCTCAAACTATAAGAATCCTAGAAGAAAACCTGGGAAACATCATTCTGAACATCAGCTTTGGGAAATAATTTATGACTAAGTCCTCAAAAGCTATTGCAACAAAAAATTTGACAACTTGGGCCTAATTAAATTAAAGAGCTTCTGTATAGCTAAAGAGCCTATCAACAAAGTACACAGGCAACCTACAGAATGGGAGAAGATTTTCAGAAACTATGCATCCAATAAATCTAATTAACAGAATGTATAAAAAATCTTAAACTACTCAACAGGTAAAAAACAAATAACCCCATTAATAAGTGGGCAAAGGATATGACCAGATACTTTTCACAAGAAAACATACAAGAATCCCACAAACATATGAAAAAACACTCAACAAGACTAATCATCAGAAAAATACAAATCAAAATCACGATGTAATAACCATCTCATACCAGTAAGAATGGCTACTATTACCAAGTCAAAAAACAATAGATGCTGGCCAGGCTGTGGACAAAGGGGAATGCTTATACACTGTTGGGAATGTAAATTAGTTCAGTCACTGTAAAAAGCAGTCTGGAGATTTCTGATTTTTTTAAAATCATCATTTGACTAATCCTATTACTGGATAATATCTAAAAGACAATAAATTTTTCTATGAAAAAGAAACATGTGCTTGTATGTTCATCACAGCACCATTTACAATAGCAACAACATAGAATCAGCCTAAGTGCCCATCAGTGGTGGATTGGATAAAGAAAATGTGGTACATATACATCATGGAACAGCACATAGCCATCAAAATGAACAAACTCAAGTCCTTTGCAGCTGCGTGGATAAAGCTAAAGGCCATTATCCTAAATGAATTAACACAGAACACGAGAAGAGAAAAGCAAATACTTCACGTTCTCATGCATATGCGCAAGCTAAATATTGAGTACACATAGACACAAAGATGGGGAACAACAGACACTGGGAAATACTAGGGGGAAGGGAACAACTGGGGCAAGCGCTGAAAAAAACTAACCGTTGGGTGCTATTGAAACGCGAGAGTGATCTAATCTTCCTGACAACAGGGGGTGTGGCTCACCTTTTCTGTCACTACCACTGCTCAAACCCCTGATGGAAGAAGGAGCACACAGATGGTCAGGTGCAGGAGCTGGGGCAAGCGCTTCGGGCTCTCGCCCCACTGTAGTGTCTAGGAATGGGTGCCTGTGGCCCCAGTATCAGATATACAAATGCAAATGGAAAGAATCCAAGTCAATTATACAACAAAACAGCACTCTATCACAAAAGCATGTAAAATTACGAGAACGCTATTTTAAAATATTGGCACTTGAAGAAAACGATAATCTCAGAAACCACAAAATTGTCAAATTGTTCCCTAAACTGGTAAGCAGATAAACATGACTAATGAATGAGTTTTGGTTTTTTAAAGAAAAAATCATTTAAATAAATTGAATAATTCATCCTGAGATGCAAAGTTTAAGTGTCTTCTTTCCTCTTATCTACTTGGATTTATAAAGTGGCAAACCATAATCTAGGAAAATATACCCTATTTTGAATGTGGCATCTTCTTTTTAAAAGCTGGCCCAATTAATTAAAACTACTTTTTATGGAAAGTCTCATTGCCTGGGCAGTCCATATTTAGATAAATGAGAAAAGACATGCATAGCCAGCATTTTCATAGTCTTCACTAAGACAAATGTCAACAAAAATTTAATATGGCAGTCTTGTGTTTTAAGCTCACTCTTTTGGGGATACATTCTCAGGACTTCTTTAATGTAGGAACTGCAAAATATAACTGCCATTAAACGGTAATAGGAATTAAAAAATAGAGTCCTCATGTAAAGGTTAGAACATAGTTTTCTATTAGTCCTGCAAGGACAGACTATCAAAATGTTTGATTCTAATAATCCCATGCTGTGAGTAGATTGATTACTCTTCAGTTTGTAAATATAAGTGGGCTATGTGAAATTTCTTAACTGATCACAATGAGATATCACCTCACACCTGTTAAAATAGCTACTAACAAAAAGAAAAAGATGTGTTGAAGTTCTGTGTGAAAAAAATCCTTGTACCCAGTTGATGGGAATATAAACTGGTACAGCCATTGTAAAAATGGTACAGAGCTTCCTCAAAAAGTTAAAAATAGAACTACCATACAATCCAGCATTTCCACTACTGGATATATATCCAAAGGAAATTAAATCAGTATGTTGAATACATATCGGCACTCTCATCTATAATGTTCATTGCAGCACTATTCACAATAGTCAACATACATAAACAAACGTCAGTCAACAGATAAACAGATAAGAAAAACATTATAACACACATATACACTGGAATATTATTTAGCCATTAAAAATAAGGAAATCCTGTCATTTGCAACAACATGGAGGAACCTGGAGAACGTTGTGCTACGTGAAATCAGCCAGACGCAGAAAGACAAATACTGAATTATCTCACTTGCATGTGTAATCTCAGACTTTTCCTACAAATACACCAATTCCATTCCTTTTGTTCCCTCTTGACAGGGAATTGTTAGGATTGTATACTTTTTCTCAAGCCTTAATGCCAGGCTGGGTACTAAGCCTCTCTCATTTATTTTTCCTAGAGCAGTGACATGAAGTGTTTAAAGAATCTTCTCCCAATCCAGAAGAGTCTAGTTGGCTGTCTGTGTGTGTTTGTGGTATATGAGCTGCAGAGGCTCTTATAGGCACATCTATGGAGAGAGGGCAGGCAAAATCCTCCAGACAACCATGGTCTTGTAGTGGCGTCCACAGGCAGTATGTCCTGGGAGGTTCATGAGCAGCCTCTTGGTGGATTCTGAGGGCAGCCAGTAGAAACAATAACGCTTTATGTACTACACCCATGTTGCTGTGAGTCCCTGCCCCTTTCCCTGCTCTGAATTGTCCCAGGACTATTGAATCAGTCATTCAGTATTCTGGGTGGGGCAAGAAAGAAAAGAACCCCTTAGGCTGGGGAAACTCTCACTTTCCCCTTTGGGAGAAATCACTGGAGGTGCAGGTCTCTGACATTAAGCTGTGCTGCCTTGAGGGAGGTTGATTGTGGTAAAATGAAACTGCTTTTCTTATTCTCTTCACAGTGTCTATTTTAGGATTTTTTCTTCAGCAGGATACTTGGACCTCTCTACTGGCCTCCCAGGCTCCGCAAATGTACTCTCCTCTGTGGGTGGCTGCCAATCATTGTTTCTGTGGGGACATGAGGGCTGAAAGCTACTGAACACCGCTGTGATGGTGGTCATATTTTCCTAGGTA